GTAAATCTGAAACAGTTCTGTTTTGTGCTTTTAAGTTCTTGGCTAGCTTCGGCGGAACTGAAACTGGGGACAGTGGGAGATGAGCTGAGGTGTGCACTACTTGAGGAGGCACAAGTCTGGGAACTGGCAGCTTTACTCCCGGCCCTATTCTTGTGCAATTTCTAAGATGTGAAACACAGGTCCACAAAACGCATTTGGCAGCACGCCTGCTGTTTAATAACACCCACTCTGTTAGCAGTCGTCATGGCTCTTATTGATCAAATAATTGTATATTCAGCAATTTAAAAGAAAAGGGGAAAGTTACAGCAAGATGATATCAGTATTTCAAAAGAGAGAATCGGGATACACTTTTAAATCCAGCATCTAAGCATTGCACCGTGAAGGACCTACACATAACCGCTGTGACGCTCCGGTTTGCTCTGCATCAAGTAACCGCTCTCAAAATGGAGAGAGTGTTAATCCTCACATTTCTGCATGCCTTACCTGGAAAAGCAAAACCTGGCTCATTATTGAGAACTAGGCTTTGGGGGAGTGGCAGTGAAGAAATGGCTCAGTGGCTCGAAGCACATGCCTGGCTTCAGTTCCCAGCACCCATGGCCTCATAATACTCAAGCTTTTTAACTCTCTAGTCCTCCTGGTAAAGACTGGTGAAGTGCTGATTGCTTTAAGTGATTTTCCATCATAACAATGGAAATATCCACTTACAGTGGCTTTTACACCAAGTTTCAAAGGGTGCAGTTTGCTGTGCACAAAAGTAAAGCATAACGATTCAGATTAAAGGATGGGGACAACAGAAAAATTCCATTTTGATGCACTGTGTGTCACCAGCTGAGTCCTAATAGCATGTTCATTTGTAAGCACAATAGAAAACATGCATTCCACAGGAGGTCAAGTGGGAAGATAGCCGTAATGGTTAATAAATGTTCATCTAGCTAGTAAGTCAGTGTGGACTGAGCACACACCCATGGCTCTTAATACATGAATCTACTAGTAAAGGGCTGGGGATGTCACTTCAGTTAAGAGTAATTACTGGACTGGAGAGATGGCTCAAAGGTTAAGAACACTGGCTACTCTTCCCAGCAACCACATGATGGTTCATAACTGTCTATAATGAGATCTGGTGCCCTCTGCTGGTATGCAGTCAGAACACTGTATATGTAATAAATAAAAGAAATCTTTTTTTTTTTTTTTTTTTTTTTTTTAATGAGTAATTACTGCTTTATCAAAGGACAAGAGTCTGGATGCCAGCACTCACATCAGGGAGTTCACAGACATCTGACTCCAGCTGCAAGGAATCTGATATGCCCTTCTGATCTCCATGTACACACACGATAGTAAGCAGAAGTAAGAATGATTTAGAAGTTCGAAGCGAACAAAGACTTTGAAGAACCCTATACACCGCTATTGTTACTAGTAAATAGAGCAAACATTTCCCCCTTGAAGACAGTTTGTAAAACTTTTCTGCCTTTTTATCATATCTTCAAAGACATGTATCTCTCAGAACTCTAATTTAATACCACATGCATTTATGCTTGACACTGAATTAGATTGTGGCAACTTATAAGGAAGAGTAAAACTGGGTCATCCTAGCATTCAGCAACTTTGCTGTACACTGTAGGAGAGGAGCAGTATCTGACTAATGTAGCTCTATCTGTGATGTGTGGAGAGATAAGTAGGCTGAATTAAAGCAGGCTCTCCCTGGGTGAACTCCTTATTTCCTAACGTCAGGTTTCCAGATTCACTAGATGGATGGATGGATAGACAGAAAGATAGATAGATAGATAGATAGATAGATAGATAGATAGATAGATAGATAGATAGATAGGTAAATGGCAGTTGGCCTTGCAGTGTGGTGCTATACCAGCCATTGAGGGGAAGCCCACGCCATGACCACATCCTCATTATCCTCCTTGATCATTATAAGCTGGGTAACTTCAGAACAATGCTTGTTGAGAACACTCCACCATGCAACCAATATGCAAATTAGCAGAGTATCTTCAGAGATAAAGCAGATGCTTTTGACACTTGCGCATCTCCTTTTCTGCACTAATTTAACTATTTCCATCACTCAGGGCTGGTGCCCATGAATGATGGTAGCATGCAGGGAAACGTGTGGGGGAGGGAAGACATGGTGCTGTGATCTAAAGGGTATTCTCATGGGTGAGTGAGGAAACTGTTACACAGATCAACAGCTAAAGTCGAGGTGCAATTACACTAAAGTAGGTTGGGGTGGCGGGTTTGCATATCAGGTTCCAACCTGTGAGGATCAGCTGTACTGAAGGATTATAACTTATGGATGAGCTGTAGAAATGACTTAGAAATACCTTCATGCAAAATGCAGGAATTACTAAAGCAGTGGAACTGCTGATACCTCACACTGGGACACTCAAAACAGTGCAGCTCAGAAAGGCCTCTAGGTGTATTTTTAAATCACCCTAAAGCCAGAAATGTACCTCTCTGATGCAAGTGTTGCCTGGTATATTTTTAAACAAATGAAATTTGGTGAAAGACTGATTAAAAAGATAAGAGGAGTGAAGATTTGTGGTCTCAATTTGGGCAAGAGGAAAAAAAAACAATATGATAAATGAGTCATGCCAGCAGCAGGCTATTTAAATGGAACAGGATGGGGAAGAAACCTAACATCGCTAGCACGACTGAAGCCACGGCATTTAAGTATCTGTTCATATTTAAAAGGACATATTTTGAAGGAAATGTTTTAGGCCTTCGGAGGGCAAATTTTCTATATTTATATGTCAAATACACAGTACATAGGCAGTATAGGAAACATTTTAAATATAACTAACACTACTTAAAATATGTTGTATAGTGCAGGATATATTTTAATACAGTATGTGCGGTGTACTCATGAGGTATTAAGGGAGAATTAGAACTCTGTAGAGGAACAAGGAAGCTCATCCCGGGTGCACGGGCCAAGGCTTTCCTTTCCTGTCCCGTAGAAGAGTGAACACGTAGCTATGCTATGTTTGAGCAACTCCATCTGGCAGAAGAGGCCCTTCTTGCTCATTAGGAAGAAAAGAACTTCTTTCCTGTTCTTCCCCGCAGAACATGCTCCTACTGGTTCTGGGTGGATGACTTAAGTGACCATGGATCATTTCCCTTGCAAACCGTATCTGCCTGGATATCAGTTCGCTTCCTCCTTCTAGCCTTGCCAACTACGGTATGGGATACTGAACCACAGATCCTTATTACTAGAAGATGAACCTGACATACTTGTCCATGTATCCCCAGTCATACTTTTACAAAGTACTCAATTTTGTACAATGATTTGTCTATGAAATTTTACTATTTAAATGTAAACTTGTACAACCACTTTAGATATCAATCTGACGCTTTCTCAGACAATTAGGAATAGTGCTACCTCAAGATCCAGCTATACCACTCCTGGGCATATATCCAAAAGATGTTCAAGTGTACAACAAAGACATTTACTCAACCATGTTAGTAGGAGCTTTATTTGTAATAACCAGAAGCTGGAAACAACCCAGGTGTCCATCAATAGAGAAATGGATACAGAAATTGTGGTACATTTATACAATGGAATACTCCTCAGGAATTAAAAACAAGGAAATCATTAAATTTGCTGGCAAATGGTGGGATCTAGAAAAGATCATCCTGAGTGAGAAAGACTCCAGAAGCAGAAAGACACACATGGTTTATACTCACTTATAAGTGGATACTAGACATATAATATAGGATAATCATACTAAAATCTGTACACCTAAGGAAGCTAATCAAGGAGGACCCTGAGTAAGATGCTCAACCTTCATTCAGAAAGGCAAACGGGACAGATGTTAGAAGAGGGAGAAAACAGAGAACAGGACAGGAGTCTACCACAGAGGGCTTCTGAAAGGCTCTACCCAGCAGGGTATCAAAACATGCTGAGACTTATAGCCAAACTTTGGGCAATGTGCAGGGAATCTTATGAAAGAAGGGGAGATAGTAAGATCTGAAGGGGACAGGAGCTCAGCAAGGAGAGCGACAGAACCAAAAAAAATCTGTGCACAGGGGTCTTTTCTGAGACTCAACCAAGGACCATGCATGGAGATAACCTAGAGCCCCTGCACAGACGTAGCTCACGGCAGTTCAGTGTCCAAGAGGGTTCCCCAGTAATAGGAACAGGGACTGTCTCTGACATGAACTCATTGCCTGGCTCTTTGATCACCTCCACCTGAGGGGGGAGCAGCCTTACCAGTCCACAGAGGAAGACAATGAAGCCAGTCCTGATGAGACTCATAGACTAGGGTCAGATAGAAGGGAAGGAGGACCTCCCCTACCATTGGAATTGGGGAGGGGCATAGGAGAAGAAGAGGAAAGGAAGGGATTGGGAGGGGGAGGGGGCAACAGCTGGAATACAAAGTGAATAAAATTAATTTATAAAAATAAAATAAAAATAAATCAATGACTTCAAATTTTTTTCATACAATATAGTTTGATCATATTCTTTTCCTTCCCAAACTTTTCCTAGATCCTCCCTACCTTCCTATCCACCCACTCTCCTTCTTTTCCCCCTCTCTTCCCTCCTCTCAAAAAGAAATCAAACATGAAAACAAATAAACAAAACATCACTAAGGCAAAACCAACAACACTGAGTCCTTTTTGCAATGGTCAAGTACTCCTGCCCTGGAGTGTAGTTGATGCTGTGATCTTAACTGGAGAAAACAGTCATAGGTTAATATGCTGGCAGATTTTAAAGTAAAATGCTAACTCAAGGAAACTCTTCACCTGTACTGTAACCTCTTCCAGAGCCAACTTCCCAGCTTCCTCCCTGACACAGGGGTGATAATCACAGACACACATCTGTGTGTGGCAAAGCTTGAAAGCAATGCCAGATTTCCTAAGGTACAGATTTCCTGCCTCGCCAGTACTATCACTGTCACAAGTCAAATATTGGAGATGCGGAGTCATCTTCATGTGGAAAGTTGTGCGAATGCCTTTGGCTAAGGTGCTGATGTAGAAATGTCCTTTCTGTTGTTTGGCAGAATGGCGGCTGGTGCATTCCTCACAGCGTGTGCCCAGGACCGGTGAGTAGTGCTTTTCCTCTAGTCTCCACGCCTTGGCCTAGCAGAGCACGCAGCACACCTGCAGGCCTTACCATTGCTTCCAAGTACCTGTCTGCGAGAGAGTGAGCATCAGAAACCTCAGCCCAGGTGACACTGTGAGAGCCGATAAAGTCTCTGAGGGGAGGGAGAGAAGCCAGCAGACCAGGGCCCAAATCCAAAAGGAGTTTACCAAGGAGACCAGAGGTTTTGCTGATGTTTTCTCAACTCGTGGAATAAGTACTATTTGTCCTATTTGAAAAAAAAAATATCATTTTCTATTTCTATTTTAAACTATATACTACTTCCCTGAGGCATGGAACTATACTTTTTAAAATTTCAAAATGCCTTCTTTTGTGAATCCAGTAAAACCTTATCAAATCTGATATCACCACTACAAATCATTCAGTCTAGGCAAGGCCTGAAATTTTATTTGGATGATCTTGGAGGAATGGATTGGCTGAATGCAGAAGGAAAGGATTTGCAACTCATGCGAAAATCCTTTCACGGCTCTCGCATATCATGCTCTTTAGGCAAAAAGATCCAGCTAGCAAGTAAGGATCCATGTCATTAAGTAAATGTGCCCTTAGACTTTATTGGCCCATCATAGTACTGAAAGTAATGAAGTTGCATTGCATTCAATACATTCTGACTCGCATAATTCACACTTATGTTACCTTCTCCCAGCTTCAAGCCTATGACTTCAGTCTGTTGAAATTGGCTATTGTGAGATATGTGAATATATGTCCTTTTCCTTTTATGATAGCTCTGTCTAGGTGCCCTAGGCTAGCTCAGTACCCACTATGAAGCTCAAAAGATTTCAAACTCACAGAAATAGTCCTGTCCAAGCCTCTCCATGCTGAGATTGCAGGCATGAGCCACCATGCCTCGGGAGGAATTTTTATAGGAAAGGATCAACTCCTATCTTTTTAAAACTAACAAGTATACATTTTATTTTTGATGGCTTTTCATAGCAGTGGCCTCCTGGGTAAGGTACTATCTTTACTTATATAAGGAAGATAATACACTCTTACTATTTTGATGACACCATAGAGTAAGCATTTTTTTTTAACCTGAGGCTCAATATTTTCACAAGGCAAGCAAAACAAATCCCCAGGATAATAATAAAGATTAAGAAATCAGATCATTTTTTTCCTTGAGACCTATTGAAAAATCAGAGTAGGAATTACATCAACACTTGTTCTTTTATTCATTCAATGAAAAGAAAAAGCCAAGGACCATGCTCATTGCATAAGGGATTGGTGATAAGTAAAACCCTCTTGTACTCACTGTGTGGGCAGGGTATAAGCTGAAAGAGAGACTGAGGCAATTTTCTCATGCGATAAGTGATGTGATGTATTATCCAATATAGAAAATAATGAGCAACACAACAAATACCCATTCAACCTGATTAGAAGAGAAGGGAAGTATTCATTCTGGGTTGACATTTGAGCTGAAGGGACAGAATTTGGAGGATGAACAGAATCTAAATCAATGGAAATTGTAGCCTTCCAAGTAATGCAAGCAGAGATAGAGAGATAAAGAGATACATGGTTAATCCCAGAAATAAGTCTCGCTGTGAGTGAGCTGTGGCTTGGAAAGGTGTGCACACGGGGATGATGAACACATAAAGGAAGGAGATCAACTAGAGATACTCAGCAAATGCTCAAAGCAACTAGAGTTCAGAGAGAACTGAGTGTTGCCTGAGTAGGAGTGAACACAAATATAGGAATAAATAAAAGCACCCAGAGAGAAAAGAGAGAACTCTTAGGGACACATAATGGAACAATCCTTCCCCTCGACAGGAGGAAAAGAAGAATTGGAAGGTACATTTGTTGGAGAATATAAAGAAATAGGATATGTCTAGTATTTTTTTGCCTGATCGAATGAGTTCTCTTTCTATGATCTCGTGGAGGCAAGCTCAGGACAGAGAGTGGCAGGACAAATGTTTGAAAAACAGTTCCACTACCTGTGTACCATGTGTGAAATGGAGACAAAGACAACAGCACACTCAAAGTTTGGAAGAATTTGTAATTGTGTGAAAACTTTCATAAACTGAAATGTTACACCAAGAAGCAGCTGGACATGGTTCCCAGAGGGCTTCTACATGGCCTCACTGAGCCTATTTGCTAAAGCAGGGGAAAGAGTGTGTTCCTGGGGTCATGAAAAGTTAGTTGTGTACCAGCCACACAGAGAAGGTGTGTTGGAGATGGCCACTGGCCCATTATTACTCTCTGCAAATACAAGCTACTTTCTGAGTGAGGGGGGTGTCAGGGGGCAGGCAGTCACCATGAAGAATAAAAAGCAAGAGAGTATGTATAAATGCTCATAAGTAGCACAGATAGCTGGTTCTGAAAAGATGACTTTGCAAGTCCAGCCACATCCCTGGGCTCTGCCACAACTAAAATCCATGATTTTGTCATCTAGGTTTGATGGTCGGAGAGGCTAAGAGTGAGGCTAAGTGAGAAGCTAAGGCTGAGAGTGCTGTTGAGGGGACAGTGAAAAATGCTGGTCAGTGCAGTACCCTGAGGCACTCAAGACTTTGAACTTCATTCTCAACCCTGACTCAAATAAAAAAGTATCTTTTTTTTTGTTCAGAGTCAGTGGCCTGGGACCCCAAGGTTCATGTCATTATTATAGAAAGTGTAGATTAGCTAAAGGTCATTTCCAGCTCTCCCTGGGGTCATAAACTCTCACCCAGAAGGCTCAACTCCAGAAGGCTACTGTGGATGGTAGGACAATGGCCTACAACAACCGTTCTAACTTCTAATTTCTCTCTACCCATCCTTGACCCCACAACCCCACCTCAGCCTCACCTTCCACTTGATGCTCAGTTCTTCCCTGGCTGAAAAGTCAGCAGAGCCATTTTGCAGCACCACCCACTCCTGAAACACAAATGTAAAACTAGAGCCAAGTAACAAACACTCAGACTGCCTGCTCTCTGTGCCTCGCTGGGCACCAATTTTAAATCTCAATAAAGAATTTCCTAGTTGTAATAGACAAGACAGACTTCTTCCCATGTGTGGACACAGGTTATTTCACCAGCCACTAGGAGAAAAGCCTGTGTCCTCCTCAAACACTTACTGAGCCTTGGGGACCCAAGAGAGAGCTGCCAAAATCTATCTTGATAGTTCCTAAACTTTCCTCAGAGGGAGATTTGAATTGCAAGAGCTCTCACTCTCAATTTGCCAAATGGCAGTAATAAAGAAAATATAGGCTAAATTTTGCACATTATTGACTCCCATTTTAATTAATGTAAGACAGATCCCTCATGTGGGAGCATGGTTGACTCACTCCGCCAGTGATTATTCATTACTGATGACTGCAAGGTGCTAGTGACTACTCTAGATCTTTGGGGATAATGAATACAGGGGTCTTCCATGAACAATATTTGAAACATTAGGGAAGCCTGTCAGTTTGAAACAAAACCCTCGGTTTCTGTGAGAGGACAACTCTGGAGACTAATTAAAAGTCTGGGAAGCCCAGAGCTTCTTCTTCTTCTTCTTTCCATTTAGTCCTAAAGCTAATTCCACTCTTCAGTCCCAGCATGGATCACATGCTATTCACCTCCACGCTCCTTGCCTCCTGTATATTCTTTTCAGCCAGTTGTGCTGACCTCTCAGTCTCTCTCTACCTTGCCTCAGGACACCTGAACATTCTCTCCCACACATATGAGAGACACCCCCCCATAGGATGGGAGGGAGCCCCACAAAAGGGCAAATACATCTTTGTGTTTCCCAGGTGGAAAGGATCCTGGGCACTTCTTCTGTCGCCACATAAAAAATGTGTATCTGTCTTTCCCTAGGTGTGCTTTAAGCACTGGGCACTTTACCCCAGTGTCTTCTGCAACTAGCATTTCATTCATGCCTGGCTTGTCACCATGTTCATTTCGTACCTGTTAAGAAAGAAACCACTTTTCCCCCAAACCAAAAACCTATGCATTTTCTGTCTGTTGGCCTTAACAACACTGCCTCCCATTTCCTCCTTAACTTGGGGTCTAATGTCTGGGTTCTCTGTTTATTTTTTTCTATACTTGCATTCCTACCCTTTATGTATCTTGCAGATTTTGCTAAACTTTGGGATATTTGTTATTTATTTATTCCCCACACAATGGGAAATAAATTCAGTGAGGGTTAAATTCTAAACCAACATGGGGTGGTGGTCTTTGTTTACCTGTTTTTCTTACTGCTCTTTGAAGGTCTTCTGCTAGGTGGCCAAACAACAGTCACCTGAGGTCAATCTTTTTTTATTTTTCTCTTTGTTTCTGAAGCAGAGTCTCTAGCCCAGGCTGTCCTTTGATTCATCATGTGGCTGAGGATGAACTTAAGCTTCTGATCCAGCCTCTTCCACCACCCAGAGCTGGAGATTACAGGTGTACAACATTATACCCATTGCTGAAGATTGAACCTAGGGCCTTGTGCATGCTGGGCAAGAATGCTATCAACTGAGCTACAACCATGGCTCTATAGTTCATAAGTTCTCATTAGCAAGAATATAGTCTAGACTGTAGCATGTCAGAATTGAGCCCTTGATAAAATGGGTAATGGAGTCTGAGGATTGCGTTTTCTGATTCTGAACTTACGGAGGAGATAAGAAGGCATGCTTTTAAGGCACTTTCATTCTTAGTTATTGAACTGAGAAATGTTCCTTGGAATTTCATGAAGAAAATCTTCCACCCATTCAAAGGATCCCTATATAATGTCTTGTTCCATATTGAAAACAGATTCCACTCTTGAAATGGAAGGAGGCTTTGAATGAAAGCTGCTGGGGTGCGTGTGCTTTTATAGGAAGATTTTTCTACCTGTCGGTTTCTGTGGTTACCTTCCCAGAGTCTACCTTCTTGGGCTTGCAACTTCTAGCTTTGCATTCATTAGGTGCTTTCTTGCTCCCTCCTGGGCACAGTTCCTGGAAGAGACTTGTTTTCTGTGTTCAGTGCCCTTACGGTTATTGTGTTCAAAGGGAACAGAGCGCATCTGGCTTTAGCA